TTCCAGGTTTGGGGGCCTCGCGGGGAGCAGCGCCTTGGTGATGCTGGCCGCGCGGCACTACTGGAACGCCTGGCTCCCGCTGCTGTCTTCCGCGGTCAACAGGAAGAAATGTAAGAGCGCCACCCAGCGGATCATCAGCATCATCAACCGGACGGAGGCCAGAAAGCAGGTGCGCGGGGCCGCGGGGGATCGGGCCAGCGTCCCACCGCCGCCTTGAAGCTTCTTCTTCCAGAAAGGGTGGGCAAGAGCCTCAAGGAAAGGCAGACCCCGTGGAGCTGCTCAGACAAGGCACGGATGGCCGGCGTTGGCGTGGGGGGCGGTGCTGGTCCCTGAAATCCCAGTGGGGCAGGTGGGCAGGCCAGCTCTGACCTCCCTCCCCTTCCCTCCTCTTTCCCCCTCCTTGCTCTCTCCCCACCCCCAGAGGACCCTGACTCCTACCTGGGAAGTTCCATAAGAAAGGCGAGAAGAGGGAGGACACGGGGGCAGAACAAGAGAGGCAGACGCACAGGAAAACCCACCAGAGGTGGTGGGCAGACCCACACCCAGGGTCCCAGGGGTCTTGGCCTGACTGGAAGGGAGTATGGCGGGTCCACCCGTCCTCCATTACCAAGGAGTGTGGTCCTGGCAGACAGAACTTCCCTGCCTGGCCCCTCCCAACACCTGGCCCCTGAGGCAGGCAGGGTCGGGCCCAGGCAAAGGGAAGGCTGTCCGGCCTGCGTCCAGCACCCTTCCTGTCTGTCCGGAAGGCCAGACTCCAGGCCGACAGAGATGGCCATGGCAGACAGATGTCCAAGGTCAGAGTGCCCAGGACACAGCCCACAGGGGAAGCCTTCGGTCCAGGGCCCAGGGAAGCCATCGCGGTCAGCAGGCAGAGGGGCCCTGGGGGTTTGGCCTGGCACAAGAGGTGGGGGAGCTGCCCCCTGGGCCGATCCGGAGCTGGGCAGTGCTGGGGCCACAGCCTCCGCATGTCTGTGCCTGGCTGGGGGCCTGCTGTTCCAGACGGGGCCTCCGGTAGTCTCTGCTGGTGGGCAAACTGCTGCCGGGGGGGCAACTCCAGCCCCTGCTTCGTAAATACAGGTTCACTGGGGCAGGGCCACGGCTTCTCACGCACAAAGTCTGAGCTCCCCGACTGCAGAGGCAGCATCGTGACCAGAAGCACTTACTCCCGCACCTCGCAGAGAAAACACGCACATCCCTGGTCTAGGTCTTCATACCCGAAGCCCAGTTCTTTCCAATGTGCTTCTTCAAACGTGCAGTAAAACAGACATTGTATAATTTGCATCATTTTAGCCATTCATTAAGTGTACAATTCAGTGACATTAATTATATGCACACTATTGTGTGACCATCACCACAGTTATACCTAAAGCTTTTCCATCACCCCAACAAAACTCTACCCACTAAACACCTGCTCCCCTCCCCCGCCTCTGGTGACATCCATTGTCCTTTGTGTCCCTGGATTTGCCTCTTCTAGGACCTCATGTAAGTGGAATCACACAGTGCTTGTCCTCTGTGACTGGCTTGTTCCACTGAGCACAGTGTCCTCGAGGTTGATCCAGGCTGTGTCAGCACTCCTGTCCTCTTCCCAACTGGACACCGCTCCATCGTGTGGATGGATCGCGTGCTGCAGTGGGGATGGGTGGGTTGTCTCCGCCTTTGACAGTTGCCAGTGGCGCTGCTGTGAACGTCAGTGTGCAGGTGTCTCTGTGTCCCGCCTGTGGGGCGTGAGCTCGGAGTGGAATTGCCGGCAGTTCTGTTTGGCCTTTCAAGGAGCTGCCAGCCTGTTGTCCCCAACTGCTGCACCACTGTTCACTCTCCCCAGCAGCACACGAGGGTTACAGTTTCTGCACATCCCATCAACACTTATTTTCCATTAAAAGGAATCATAGCCATCCTAGTGGGTGAGGTGCCTCACTGTGGTTTTGATTTGCGGTGCCCTGATGGCTGGTGGCACTGAGCATCGTCGCGTGTGCTCATTACCATCTATGTGTTATATTTGGTGAAATGTCTGTTCAAGGCTTTTGGCCAGGTTTGAACTGGTTTGTTTGGTTTTTGTTGTTGGATTGTAAGAACTCTCTGTATATTTTGAGTATTAACCTCTTATCATATGTATGACTTACACGGTTTTTTTCCCTCATTCATTTGGTCGCCTTTTCACTCCCTTGATAGTGTTCTTTGATGCACCAAAGTTCTTAATTTTGAAGACGTTCAAACGTTTTTCCTTTTGTTGCCTGTGTTTTTGCTGTCATATCCATAAAGTCCTTGCCAAAGACAGTGTCATAATGATTTTTTCCTGTGTTTTCTTCTGAGAGTTCTGCAGCTTTAGTTCTTACGTTTAGGCCTGTTTTCCGTTTTGAGGGGCTCTTCGCAGGTGGTACAAGGTGCGGGCTCCGCTGCCTTTGCACGTGGAGGTCCAGGTCTCCCAGCGCCACCTGCTGGGGGGACTGTCCTTTCCCCGTCGGATGGTCTTGCGTTCTTGCCAGAAGCCACTCCCACACCCGTGCAGGGCTCGTTCTGGGCTCTTCTGCTGCGCTGGTCTGTGTGTCTGTCCTTGTGTCAGCACACACTGGGAGTCTCGGGTCCTTGGCCGTGATTTTCAGAGCAGGAACTGTGAGTCCTTCAACTTTGCTCTTCTTTCCAAGATCGTTTTGACCACTTGGGGCGCCTTGTGACTTCGTGTGGATCTGAGGGCTGTTGGAGTTCTGGGAGGGCCGTGCTGGATCTGTGGGCCGCCGGGTAGTGTTACGTCTGAGCAGCAGCAGGGCCTCCCGTCCGTGAGCGTAGAATAGCCCTCAAGCGCTTCAGTATTCCTCGGTTTCTTTCAGGAACGTTCTACGTTTTCAGCTCATAGGCCTTTCACCTCTTTGAGTGTGTTTATTTCTTCTAGGTGCTGTTGTAAATGGAGTTGCTTCCCGTCTTAGTCATTTCATGCTGTCATAACAAAATGCCACAGACTGGGGGGCTTAAACATCAAAAATTCATTTTTCACAGTTCTGGAGGCTGGAAGTCCAAGATCAGGCAGCCAGCACGGCCGGCTTCTGATAAAGGCCCTCTTCCTGGCTTGCAGAGAGAGCTACCTTCTTGCTCTGTCCTCGTGGTGGTGGTGGGGTGGGGGCAGAGCAAGGTCTCTGGTGTCTTTTCTTACAAGGACATCGCATGATGAGTGCCCAACCCTCATGACCTCATCTGACCCTAATTCCTTCCCAAAGACCCAGTCTCCAGTTACCGCCACGTTGGGGGTTAGGGCTTCTGCACATGAGACAGTGCCCTCCATCACCACTTTCCAATTTCCCTTTTGGGCTGCTTGTTGCTGACACGGCAGAGCACCGCCGACTGTTGCACGCTGACCTTGGGTCTTGCAGCTCTGCAGAGTTCGTTTATTAGCTGCAGTAGTTTCCTTGTGGATTCTTGGAGATTTTCATCTGTGACCAGAGACAGGTTCCCCTCTCCCTCTCCAGTCTGGATACCTTCTCTTCCTTATTCTGTCCGCTGGCCTGGCTAGAACTCCCTGTGCGGTGACGCACAGCGGCGCTGAGTGGGTGTCCTTGCCTGTTGCTTGATCTCAGAGGGAAGCCTGTCTTCGCCGTCGAGCATCGTGGCAGCCGTGAGATTTCACAGCTTTGTTGTGCTGAGGGGTCTCCCGCCACTCCTAGTTTTCAGAGTGATTTTACGGTGAGCAGTTGTTGGATTTTGTCAAACGCCTTTTCTCGGTCGGTTGAGACAATCAGTGGCTTTCCTCCTTTCTGTTGTGCGATGTGTCGCACTGAGCAGTCTCCTTGTGTTGAGCCACCCTTGTGTTCCTGGGATAAATCTCACTCGGCCACGGTGAATGGTAGTTTTACTTTGTTGTTAGATTTGATTTGCAGTCTAGCAACGTATTTTATTGAGGATTTTTGCATCTATACTCATGAAGGATGTCATCGGTACTTTTCCTTTCTTGTGATGTCTTTGTCTGGACCTCCCATTAGCATGTGCTGGCCTCACAGGGTGAGAAGGGGTGGGTTTTCCGTCTCTTCTCGGTCACCGATTTGTCGGCGTACAGTTGCTCACAGGATTTTCTCGCAGGGTTGGCAGTAGTGTTTCCACTTTAGTTTTGGATTTTAGTTATTTGTCTGCTTTCTTTTTTTCTTTGTCAGTGTAGCTGAAGGTTTGTCAGTTTTGTTACTATTTCAGAAAACAACTTTGTGTTTCATTGATTTTTGTCTCTTGTATTTCTACTCTCTCTTTTATTTTTCTCTGCTCTACTCTTTAATTTTCCCCCCTCCTTCTGCTGACTTTGGATTTAGTTTGTTCTTTTTCAAGTTCCTTAAGGTGCAAAATTAGGCTGTTGACTTGAGACCTTTCTTCCATTTCAGTGCTGGTGTCTGTAGCTGTAAACCTCCTGCTGAGCCTGCTTTTGCTGTGTTTTACGTGCTTCTGATCCCATTGATTTAAGGGCTGTAAGACTGACTTGGAGGCTTCATGTCATTAAAAAGCTGTAGGCTATTGGGGGTAGTCTGTGCATGTGCGTGCGCATGTGTACGTGTCTGCGCGTGCGCACGTGTGTGCGCATGCATGTGTGTGTGCACGCACATGTGCGTGTCTGTACATGTGTCTGCATGTGCGTGTGTCTGTGTGTGCACGTGTCTGCGTGCACATCTGCATGTCTGTGTGCACACATGTGCGCATGTCTGCATGCATGTGCACATGTCTGTGCATATGCCCGTGTGTTCTGATGCTGTCAGCCTTGAACTGGAGTGCCTTCTTTCATGGATGAAGTATGATTCCGTTTTTTGTGACTTAATATTTCAAAAAATTAGCTGGAATTTCTGTAACTAGACATTGAGCCAAATGAAAAGCAAACTGGTGAAAGAATAAACTGTGGCTTTTCAGTATCTGTCTTATTTGTTTTCACTCCAGGAAAAAGGAAAAACGCTGTTTCTGCACCAGTGGCCTACAGCAGATTTCCAAATTGGAGGGATGACTGACGACCATTTTCTCTCAGGTTTGTGGATGCGGGACGCCGGAGCTGCAGGCGCGAGCCGGGGGCCGGCTGGTGCTTTTAGATCCCCACGCCTGGTGCAGAGCCGCCCAGTCCTGGAGCAGCCACAGGTGATATGAGCAAAAGATGTCACCATGTGTAATCAAATATTAAGCTGAACCCTAAGCCCTACCAGTTAAGTGTGTTTGCTGGTGCTGCCAAGATGATACAGATGCGGACGGCAGCCAGGACCGCACAGGACCCCCCGCCTGGTCAAGAGCCAGGTGCTGCATGGAGCGGGGTACTGCCGGGGAAACGTGGGCCATGCCTGCACTTGGCTCCATGTGCTGAAAGAAACATCAAATAAATAAATGGTCTAGCAGCTTTAAAATTTAAATTATAAAAAAATGAGAAAATAGAATTGAGCGTAGCAGGTATTTTGAGGAAAGATTACTTCCTAAAGTTTAGAGTGATCGTAGAGACATACATTCAAATACATGAAAATTTAAATAATGGGAAAATTATAAAGTAAACACTGGAAAAGTGTTTGTACCGACTGGCGGCTAAATGATTTGTTTCTATATAACACATATGAAATCCTGTTAGTCAGTGTGGGGGATGCCCCGCCGCAGTAACGAAGGACCCGACGGCTGAGCAGCTGAGCTCGCAGGGCGGCCCCTCCCCTCTGTGCGAGGCCCCGTCAGAATGTCCAGCTGGCAGGGTCTCTGCCAGCTCAGGAAGGATGGGCTCCTCGGCTCTGGGCAGGGAAATGCAGAGCACTGACTGCAGGAAGCCCTTGAGCCTGGGCATGCGCTTCCCACACTGCGGGACTTGCGTGCTTCCCATGGCTCAGACGTGACCAGAGGTCTGGCCGTGGACAGCAGGGCACCCGTGTATTTCTCACGGTCCCGAACGCAGCACCCCGAGCAGCGCAGGGCTGGCCCAGGTGGCTCCCAGGAGTCTCTGCTGCTCCCGGCCAGCCCGCATGGGCAGCTGCGTGTGTGTCTAAGGGACGCGATGCACACACGTCCTGGAGTGTCCGCCGCTGGGTCGACCCTGTGGTCACACCTCGCTGTCCGGCTCTGCAGCAGGTGGCCCCAGGCTTCCCAGATGCCGGCGCTGTGTCCTGGGTGCTTCCTGGGACACTGCTGATCCTGTGGCCTCAGGCCCTCGAGCTGCTAGCCTGGGCGCCCCCCACTCGGGGACTCTCCCCTGGGGCCTCCACTGCCACCGCCCTGAGCCCCTCCTCCCGCCGCAGGGGCAGAGGACGACCTGACCCTGCGGGCCGCACTCTACGGGCTGCTCTTCCACAGCCACGCGGACCGGGATGACTGGGAGGGCGGCCTCAAGGTGCTGGACGAGGCGGTGCAGGTGCTGCCGCGGACGGCCCACCGCCTGTGAGTGCCCGCGCCCCCCCATGACCGTGTTTCCCAGCAGAGACTTCAGCACCAGCAGGGTGGGGAGTTAGAGGAATAAAGTCCCCAAACCCCAAGACACTCAAGCTCTACTTTGTCTCTGTAAGTGGAAGACGGACAGAGGCTTCAGTTTCGGATGCACTGTGGATGCTTAAAGGTTGATCGCTCAGTTCAAGCCTCAGCTGTCCCTTTTACTTTTCTTTAGCTTGATTTTCAAACACATGGTCATCGTGAAGGCCAAACTGGGGCAGAACTTTACAATGGAAATTCAGAAATTCAAGGACGAGAGTGAGGACTACCTGGCGCACATGTGGCACCGCCTGGCCTTGAACTCAAAGAGCATCCACGGGGAGCTGACCTGCTACCACAACGCCATCCACGCCCTGCAGGTCCGTCCGGGCTGACACAGGGCCTGCACATGACCCCTGGGGGCAGAGGCCACCCCACGGAGGGGAGGGGGACCTCAAAGGAAGAGCAGGGCAGCGGGGCACCAGTCAAGGTGGGGACGGAGCGTGTCCGCCACCGCCCTTCCCGGCTGCGAGCAGGAAGGGGCCCGAGGCCCTGCGGGGTGCTGGAGGCAGCAGGGCTCTGTGGCCTCTGGGCCAGTCCCCGCCGTGAGAAGCTGTGCACTTGGAGATTTGGGGGGAGGTATGGGCACCTCGATTTGATGCAAGAGTTTGTGAGACTTGCCTAAGGATGAAGAAGGCCCCTGATCATGGGACTAAAGTCGCCTCAAAGACGTGCATGGGTCGCAGGCAGCTGAACGGGCTTTTCCCCCTGGAGGCTGTCAGAGTCCTCCAAGGACTGGGGTCCCCCTTGGGAAAGGCAGGGGTTAACCTGGGACTGGTTGGGAGGCCGCTCTGGGCCCAAACGCAGGCTCTACCATGGGCTCTGTGGTCAGTCAACACCAAGCGGTCTTCGCAGAGGCCTGGGTCCCCGACAGGTGGCCGTGGGGCACCCCTGCCCTCACCCCGGGAGCCACAGGCCGAGGCCTCCCGGGCGATGGCCCTGCTGGGCGCCCTGGGACCAGGCAGTGTGGACCCACCCCACCAGGGAGAGCAGGAGGCGCTCTGGAGAGAGGCCGGCCGAGGGCCGGGCTGAGCTGCCGGTCCCTCGCACCGACCCCTCTTCCTCAGGGATCCAGGAGGTGCTTTTGTGAGTTCACAGGGCTACACAGCCGTCGTCACAGTCACCACCCCCAAAACACCCCTGGTCTGTGGGCACCCCTGCCCTCCCCCCAGGCCCCAGGGAGCCACACGTCACACAAATGGAACCAGACAAGCCGCGTTCTCCGCCCTCCATCCTCTGCTCCCCTCCTGGGCGTCTCGTGGCGCGTGTCTTCGGCAGGAGGGCGGGCTGTGCCGATGGGCCTCCGTCTGCAGCTCTGGTGGCCGGGCTGCTGGTGACGTTCGTGCACAGGTGTCCCCACGGACGCGGTCACAGCTCTCTGGGCACGTATCTGCTGCTCACGTGGGGACTCTGCTTTGCTGTTTGAATCACGACCTGACTTCGCCTCCCTTGTCGCTGACGATGTGCACCCTTCTCGGGCATTTACAGGCGTCTGCACGTCTTCTGCAGACAAACAGTTGCTGAGCTCCTCACCCTATCTCTCAGTTTGGCTGTTTGTTTGCTACTGAGTCATAGGAGTTCTCTGTGCTCTGGACGCAAGTCCTCACCGGGTACGTGGTCCGGAAATATTTCCTCCTTCTGTGGGTGCTCTTTTCAGCTCCCTTCCCACTTCCTGGATGAAGTCATCTGAGCACCAAAGGGCAAGATTTTGATGCAGCCCACGTACCTGCTGCTTCTGGAGTGTCTGAGACACCGCCGCGTGATCCAAGGGCGCAGGGGCTGCTCCTGCGTCTTCTTCCAGGAGCTTCGTAGTGTTAGCTCTTAGGTTGAAGCCTCTGATCTGTCCTGAGTTCAGCTTTGTGTCCGGGGTGAGGTGGGGGTCCGGCCCCCCACCTCAGCACCCCTCGTGGAAAAGATGGTCCCTCTCCCCTCAGCTCCTCTAAAGAGCCCCGTCCCCACCCCCTGCACAGCTCAGGTCAAAGCCACCAGGGGCCAGCATGGTCCTTCTGAGGGCCCTCTGACCCCTCCTCCTCCATGCTGATGGCCGTGGGACACCTGGCTCCCTGGTGCCCCCTCTCGGAGCTACCGCTCCGCCCCTCCGCCCACCCCTTACCAGGGAGGAGGACCCCGCTCAGGGCTTGGTCCCCGGTCCAGGCCCCGCTCCCTGGTGATCTCAGCCAGTGTCTTGGGCTGACTCTACCCTCACCTTGCACGTTCTACTGCCTCCGGCCCCCTTCCATCTTCTCGACCAGAAATCACATTGCTGCCCCTCCTTTCATCAGCACCTCCTCCTCCTTCCTCGCCCCGTGGTGCCAGCTATGCCGTCCCCTTCCCAGGCAATGAGGCGCGAGGTGTGGGATGCATGCAGTGTGGGTTGGAGCCACCAAGTGGAGGGCAGGCCGGCTCGACTCTGGGAGGGCGGGGGTGGGGGTCGTGCAGCGATGATTGGTGTTTGATACCGAGTCTGTGCACCAGCCAGGCCTTGGGCTGGACTCTGGGGCCGCACATGGGACAAGGCGGCATCCTCTCTGCCCTCCGGGGCCCAGTGAGCCACGGAAATGTCCGATGCCCTCATGTGCCCGAGGAGACCGGGCTGAGGATGGGGTGATGACTGGAAGCTCCTTGGCTGGGCCGACGTGGTTGCGGGGACTGTGAGGTGGGGGGTCTGGGGGCCGGGGGCAGGCAGCAGGGCGTCCGCCAAGGGAGCAGACCCCAGGAGGACCCCTGAGCTCTGGTGCTGCTGCACATTGCACACGAAGACCCACGCCGTAGCCACGCCAGACGGCAAGGCCCGGAGCAGGGCCCCTGAGCCTCCAGAAGGCGGAGCAGCGCCAAGTTCCAATGCTGGCTCTCGGTGCTGCCTGCTGCCCGCGGGGCTCACTGTCCTTTCCTGTTTCATCCCAAAGAAGCCAGAGAGTGACTGGCAAAAGGTTGACTACATCGTGGAATTCAGCGAGTGGCTGTATCACAGACAGTTTCCTATTGAGGACGTGATCTTCCACCTGAAGTGGGCGATTGACATCCTGCTGAGGATGCAGCCAGACAGTGACACACCCGAGCCTGCAGGTGAGGGGCCCGTAGGTGAGGGGCCTGCAGGTGAGGGGCCAGCGGGTGAGGGGCTAGTGGGTGAGGAACCTGTCGGTGAGAGGCCAGCGGGTGAGGGGCCGGCGGGTGAGGGGCCTGCAGGTGAGGGGCTGGTGGGTGAGGGGCTAGTGAGTGAGGGGCCTGCAGGTGAGAGGCCGGCGGGTGAGGGGCTGGTGTAGGGAACCTGTAGGTGAGAGGCCGGCGGGTGTGGGTGAGGGGCCAGTGGGTGAGGGGCCCTCAGGCGAGGGGCTGGCGGTGGGCCCTGAAGGGATGGCTGCCTGCTGTGGGGGACCAGGGGCGGGCCTAGGTCAGGGACGGGAGGAAGCCTCGAGG